TTTTTCTTTTTTTTTTTTTAATCAAACGATAATATTTGTTAGATTATATATTAGGATAGGAAGCCAACGGGATTCGAACCCACAACGTGGTGTAAGAGCGATATTTCTCTTAACCACTGTGGTAGAGGGCCACTTGCCGTTTTACCTTCTCATTTTTAATCTGCAAAGCTGTTCATTTTTTTGGGATTATCTTTAAAGGATCATTGCTATGTAATCAAAACACAAAGCTCGTATGTTTAATAGATAACAGGTAAAGGGATAAACAATTTTCTATCAGGTTTAAGTTTCACAAAGATGGTTTTTTTGAGATAAGACGGTTTTTATCAGTAAACCACGTTGTATAATGAGAATACCAAAAAGAAGATACAAGTTCTTCAAAAAAATAAAAAATAAAAAGAAGATACAAGTTCTTCAAAAAAATAAAAAATAAAAAGAAGATACAATAGAAGGTAACTATCATTCCCGAATTAGCAAACAATTTATAAAGCATTAAACAAATGAAAGGATTTTTAGTCTAATTGTAAGACGGACGTAAGATATTATCAATTCACACGTGTTAATTATTATTTTTATGTAAATTTATTATCAACATTTATCATAAATTTATGAGATATCAATTATGTCGTTTAACACGGGAATTAATAATAATATCTAAACAAGATAGACGAGTATTTTTCGATCACATTGTGCAACAAGCAATTCACCGTCTAAAATCATGAGATTACAAATTTAGGATCTCTAGGTCTAAAAGCAAGAAATACAAAAACAAGTACTGGTTCTACACTGCATGAATCTTATCCTTTGAAATCATCAGAAATGGTACTGCGTACGACTCCTTGTCCATATTACTCTCTTCTCATCTCTTCAGTCTTCAAGGTAGTACCGTGGACATGAAAATGTACTTTGAAATCAGCTTCAAGATTTTTACCCTACCATGATATTTGACAAGGCTGCCAAAGTAATTGTAATCTTTAATTCAGCCCTTCATGTTACACCAAGGTACTCTATATATGTACCCATATAATATTTTTCTTGGCCACAATGTTTCACTCTGATTCTCACTTACTTGGCAAAAAATTTCTATATATATTAGGAGAAATTTTTAGGTAGGGTCAACTGTGTTAAGTCACCAATCCGCTCAAGACACATAATGGCAAATCCTTGCATTCAAGCTCCCCAAAATGGGCTTGTGTAAGATATGATTCCTTCTTGTGTGTGTCTTTAACGGATGAGTGACGTAGAATGAGTAGATATATTCAAGAATCTCTCATAAATTTGGTCCCATTTGGTCGAACCACTTGGATAGCATTGGATTGTGATTTGATCATTCGATAAGACTAATTGGAATCTAACTAGACTTATCATGTGTCTTTGACACTCAAGTCTCAGTTAGGGAACAAATTGGCCATTTTTTTCGAACATTAGTCCAATATACGAGTTCTGTCCACAATCTTTGTGACACAAGTGGCCATACCCAAGAATCTCTTCTAAATTAGATCACATTGGAGGTCCTTGGATAATAATGAATTGAGCTTTAAGTATTGGATACGACTAATTGAAATCCGACTATACTTATTATGTATCGTCAACACTCAATTCTTAAGTAGGGACAATTGGACCTCATTTTCTCAAACCTTAATCCGAAATACAAGGCCAGTCCACAATCCTTACTCGTGCAACTAAACATCGACCATGACACTAGTAAACTCACTAATCACAAATCCGAGAGACAAAGACATGAATGATTTGGGCTCCACCCAGATATATAAACAACATATCAGACATAACCAAACTACCCAAAACTTATTAATTATTCACACCATCACATTAAACTTTTATGCATCATTTTTGGGTAGAGAGAACGAAAGGTTTCAAATCAATGTGTTGCATAAGTTATAAAACATTCCCTAAACCAATTTGCTAAATTAAATGTCTCAACATTTGTGGGGTCTAAATTAATAGGGCGAGTGAGATGGGCGAACGTCAATTAACCATGGCGAAGTTGGTTACTGCATCAACATCTCACCAGCCCTTTTCCTTTCAAAATCTCCAATAATTCTTGAAGCGAAAGATTTTTCAGTGTGTTTGGAATACGGCACGAAACACTACATGCACGTGACTTGATGCTTCCCAATGCTTGACATATGTTAACGGCGGGATATGATGCCGTCAAGCTTACGTTAGAGTCTCAACGTGTCAGTTGTACAAAATGACAGACTACCAATGAGAGCCTTGCTTCTGCACTAAAAATATTTTGACTCGTTTCTCTAGAAGTAGTCAATGCTTACGGTCTGCTATCGAACAAATTGAAATATATAAAAAGAGAAATGCTAGGAAAATTTTCAATGAATTTTCTATCAACCCGCATCTTTACATTAATTTTTGTGACAATATTATAAAATATTATGCAAAAAAATATAAAATGACATAGTGTTCATGAGATATTTCACTTTTTAAGAGAGTCTTCTTAATATTTTTCAAATTAAAAATTTAAATCTAATTGAAAGTTTTACAGAAAGGTAATATTAGGGATACTAAATTTGTAGATAAAATTTACAAACTAAATGATGTGCAACTAATAGGAATGATCACGTTTATCAATACTAAAGTAATAATTCAATCATCAACTTACATGTTATTTAGTTTATAAAATTTTATTTACAAATTTATTCTTCCTAACATTATAAAAAATGACAATTGTCTTCTCTTTCAAAATATCAACATTCATATATTTTTTGAACTACAAAATTCCAATAATTTTTAGTGAAGTTGAACAATATCCAAGGAATTGTAGCACAATTCCGTTGGACGCTGTCATCATAAATAGTTGGTGGAACAACAGCGGAGGCGGATTTAGATTTACCGAATGTATGTAATCTTATCTTAATAGCCCCTTGTTGCGATTTAAATTCGTGTGCATGTAGTCTAATAACTTGATGGAAAAAATATTGGATTTCTACCTATGCGTTTTGCATTCGAAATTCTCTGCTTTTCTAAATTAATGTAAAATTTTCAAGTTTTCTCTCGTTCTCTTAATAATAATAATAATAATTTTTCCATATATAATTTTTTTTTAAACAAGCACCTATACTGAATTATTCTAAATTACAAGGAGAAATGTCACATCCCGACCCGGGACGGATCACTTCCCGGGTCCGCTCCACCACCATAGCACGATATTGTCCGCTTTGGGCTTACCATTCATTCACGGTTTTGTTTTTGGGAACTCACACGAGAACTTTCCGATGGGTCACCCATCCTGGGATTGCTCTCGAGCACTTCTCGCTTAACTTCGGAGTTCCTACAGAACCCGAAGCCAGTAAGCTCCCAAAAGGCCTCGTGTTAGGTAGAGATGGGAATATACATATAAGGATCACTCCCCTGGGCGATGTGGGATGTCACAATCCACCCCCCTTAGGGGCCCGACGTCCACGTCGGCACACATGCGACCAGGGTTAGGCTCTGATACCAAATTGTTACATCCCCGCCCGGGGCGGATCATTTCCCGGGCCCGCTCCACCACCGTAGCACGATATTGTCCGCTTTGGGCTTACCATTCCCTCACGGTTTTGTTTTTGGGAACTCACACGAGAACTTCCCGATGGGTCACCCATCCTGGGATTGCTCTCGAGCACTTCTCGCTTAACTTCGGAGTTCCTACAGAACCCGAAGCCAGTGAGCTCCCAAAAGGCCTCATGTTAGGTAGAGATGGGAATATACATATAAGGATCACTCCCCTGGGCGATGTGGAATGTCACAATCCACCCCCCTTAGGGGCCCGACGTCCACACACGCGACCAGGGTTAGGCTCTGATACCAAATTGTCACATCCCCGCCCGGGGCGGATCACTTCCCGGGCCCGCTCCACCACCGTAGCACGATATTGTCCGCTTTGGCTTACCATTCCCTCACGGTTTTGTTTTTGGGAACTCACGAGCAACTTCCCAGTGGGTCACCCATCATGGGATTGCTCTAACTCCCTTCTCGCTTAACTTCGGAGTTCCTACGGAACCCGAAGCCAGTGAGCTCCCAAAAGGCCTCGTGCTAGGTAGGGATGGGAATATACATTTAAGGATTACTCCCATGGGAGATGTAGGATGTCACAGAAAGATGTGAAACATTTTTTTTAATATAAGTCTCCTACCACACGTTAATAGCATATTAATGCACCTCTTATGGAGTTTTAGTATCGCATAAGGCAGTAACATACTTTTAATATTAAAGTAAAGTCGGCCCAAAGAATGCATCTGGTGAAGTCCTTACTTGGTTTGAAGGTTTCAAACCTTTGTTCGCTTTTCACTAGACTATCCGTTTCGAATTAAAAATATATTTATATTAAGAGTCAGGATGTAGGTTAAGCGACACGTGTCATATATAATAAATTGATATCGAACTCGTTATCAATAAAATTCGAATATAAAACCTCATACTTACAAATAAACGAAGAAGAAACAACTATTTAAAATAAATGAAAACTAATGAAAAGAATTTGAAAACTTTGAGTTTTAATCAAAATGACAAAAAAGTTTTGTAAGTGAATAGTATCATAAGTGACTTTTTAAAGTAAAAATGTTATTTTCGTTAAAAATTTTTTAAAATAATTAATGTTGAAAAGAACACACTATTGTAGCTAATTAATTTTTTTCAAGTGGTGCCCTCTATTTATGGGAGTAGGATTCTTTTTTTTCTTTTTTTCTCTTCCCTTCTATTTGAATGGTTACGATTAAGTTACGTCTACATCTTATATTAATTTTTTATAGAATAAAAAATATAAAATAAATAATATAAAAGGAGAAGATGGATAAAAAAAAGGAAAGAATCATTTTCCTTTTTATGGCCAAATATTGGGACCTATAATCCCCTACTTTTAGAAACTTAACACTGTTAGATTAGACGTGAAGTAAACGTTATGTGCCACGGTGAGAGAGAGAGAGATGTTGTTCTGGGTTTGTTGCCAGCTGCTTGTACTAGTTTTGTCCTTATTCATAGGAGGAAGTAATGTTGGAAACTTGGGAAGCAAAGCCCAACACATGGCTAAAAATGGCGGCACCGCCACACCCTAGCAAACCCCCCACAACACCACCACACTCGCACCCACAGAAGAGAGAGAGAGAGAGAGAGAGAGAGAGAGAGAGAGAGGTAAAGCTAGCGTGGGTTGTAATTAAGGCCATTTTCCTTTTTGGAGTTTTGTGGGGTTGAACATTGAAGGGGAAGGCAGTGAGAAAAACTCAGAAAAGGTGCCCTTTTTTATTTCAATTTTTTGAGTTTTTTTTAATACCAAATCATGGGAAAAAGAAATGGGTTTGCTGAGAAGGGAGCAGCAGCAGAAACAGAGTGGCTGGGTTTGATGATGCAAAACACCCAGCAAACCCAACAAACCCAGCAATCATTTCCTCGGAAGAAGACGATGACGGCGATGCATCATCATCCTCATCATCATGATCCTCTGCTTGCCAGTGCAGGAAGAGAAGCTTGTGGGGTTTGGGATAACAGTCCTGGTGCTGGTGGTGGACCTTTGTTTTGCAACACAAGCAATCCAGTCCCGAGTTGTCCGACTGAATTATACAATCCTGTCGGTTCTGATTTTGTCCTCCCAAAGTCTCTGCAGCACCATCTGCCTGGCTCTGATCACACCTTGGCTTTCAGTTCCTCAGGTAAAGTTCCCACCTTTATTTCTTAAAAAAAAAATAACAAAGATTCCATACTTGATGAACAGTTTTGTTATTTTCTGGTCCTTTTTCTGTTGGGTTTTTTAAATTTTAAATTTTTTATATGAAATTTTTGAATTTGAATAGGTGGAATGGTGAATGTGAGACTCCCTTTTACAGCAGCTCAAAGGGAAGAGCTTGAGAGACAGACAATGATTTACAAGTACATGATGGACTCGTCCCCTGTCCCTTCCCAATTACTTTTACCAACTTCCAAGAACACATCAAATGTCCCTCGTTTGTTCCCAAATTGTAAATCTTTCTCCTTGTTTTTTTCATCTTTTGGAATTTTTCAACAATACACTGGAGTATTGCATATTTCGGCACTTAGAGCCCTTACATTCAACCCGTAGATTGGATCCAACGGCTCTAAGTGCCCGTGAACTCCGATGGATTTGTAGGCAGACTCCATCGTTAGGTCTATTTTAACAACGTTTGTGTTCCTTGTCTTAAAAATACAAAAAAAACCATTCCTTTGTTTTACTTTGTTATTGGGTTTTTTGTTTAGTGGTGAAGGGTTCACTGGAGTTGGGGATTTCTGGGAGCTCGGATCCGGAGCCATGGAGGTGCAAAAGAACTGATGGAAAAAAATGGAGGTGTTCCAGAGATGTAGCTCCGGATCTGAAGTACTGTGAGAGACACGCTCACAAGACCAGGAACCGTTCAAGAAAGCCTGTGGAATCCCAAACCCCAAACCCCAACTTCCTCACCAACAACAACAACATGAGAAGTCCTACGTCTAATTTTTTCAGACAAAGCAACATCACCAACCGGCAAAGTTCATATTCTAGCAACATGGTTCCTTGTGCTGCCGCTGCTGCTGGATCACATGTCCAACCCAGGTGGGTTTGGTTTTGGGTTAGGTTAGGTTTGGATTCAATTTTTTAATGCTATGAAACATAGGACCAAAACTCATTAATTCGGCTGTATTTTATTGCCTTGTTCTTATCCGTTCCCTATTAATGTGCACAGGATGTCACTGTAGCATAACAGTATTTCAAGCAATTAGTCACTACAATGTGTTTTAACATTTTCACTTGGCATTGCTTAATTGGCTTGTAATACTGTACCATCCCATGACAGAAAGTTGTTTCTAGAGAAACACCTACAACAAGATGCCACTGCAGCGGTATTTAAATTCTATCAATCACTGCTATGTGTTTTAACTTTTCTACTTGGCATCGCATAAATGAATTGTGATACTGCTACAGTGACATCTCGTTGCAGAGAAGTTCTTCTCATGTGATGTGGTTCTTGCTTGGATGTTTCCTTTGTTTTGTGTAATAAATGAGGTTTTTGTCCTTGACCATGGAAGGTCCTTGGCTTGGTTCATGAATGGGGAAGCCCCAGCTGTGGGTGGCTCAAACCAAGAGTGGGGGCAAATGATGCAATTCAAGCTGGGCCTAAAGAGCAGCAGTCACAACTACACAAAGCCTACTAACACAGATGTGGATGTTCCAAGGCAACAAACTGAAAGCTCACTGAATTTGCACACAGATTACAGAGGTGAAATCCAAGGCGTGCAAATTCAACAGACAAGGCATTTCATTGATGCATGGTCAACATCAACATCAGCAGAGAGAGAAGAAGATAGAGTTTTTGTTTCTCCAAACCAGAAGCTGCCCTTTTCATCTCTCACTCTATCAATGTCTGGAGGGGAAGGAAGCAATGAAGAGAGGGAAAATACCCAAATGGGCCTTGGGGTTTTGGGGGAAGAGAGGGATAGTGTTGGGGGTTTGAAGTCCCAGTGGATGAACCCTATGTCATGGACGATGGGGTCACCACCTGGTGGACCATTGGCTGAAGCTTTGTGCCTTGGCATTGCTGGTGGTTCTAATGGCTACAACAGCGGCTCCACCATCTGGAAGAGCTCTAGTGGAGATGCTAGGCAAGAATTTGATTTGACTAACTGAGGAGGGCAGTGATGGTTTGTTTTCACTTAAATGTTTGAAGTTCTAACTTTTGTGTCTGACTCTTGAGGTTGATCATGAATGGGAGAATAGTTACTGTTTTAGTTGATTTTGTTGCCTGCATACTATGCCATTATGTTCTAGATTTTAGAACATCCTAAAACGAAAATGTTGAACTCTTAAACTAAACTACTCACTAGTGTACGAATCAATAACAGTAGAGAGATAAGAACGAGAACGTACCCACGAAGATTGAGTTTCACTCAACGTCGCGGCAATTTGTCCAACTTGCTTAACTCATACCTTGTTCAGACGTGAAAGAGATAATGGCAAGACTCACGATGCAGATTGCACATGTTCTAAACCTCGTATTCTACAAAACTTATATTCAGCCTTGAGAAACATTTGGTGCTGAAGAATTTCAGAGGCTAAACAACCTAACTCAGAATCAGCATCGACAAATGATGACGATGATCCGCTAACAATTACAACTATCAGCTTCTTCCTCACCCTACTCTCACTTGAACTCAACTTGCAAATTCTCAGAATCTACCAAAACTTGTGACACTTAAAAACTAGGAAGAAAAAGAGATGGGTGAGAGGCCAGCCTCTCTGCCTACCTGCATCCGTATGATGTGTGGGGCTGGGCCAGCATCACAACATGATTGAATACTCCTTTTCTAGTTCAAACATTATTTGAGTTGTAAATTCCAAATATATTTTGTAATAGTCTACTTTAAAAAAAAAAATGATATAATAAACAACTTTAATTTACAAGGAGTATACGAGCTTGGATGCATGAACGGGCAAACTACTTTAACCAACCAGTCGAACCAATTTTGCTTGTAATAATATTTCACTTTAGGCTTGTACCATGATGTATCATTTTGAGTTGTATATAACTTTCCCAAAAAATTAACCTTATGGGACGTCTCAAAATCACCATTTTCATCCTTTTTTTAGTCATTAAATTCCCTTGCAACCTCCTATTGTAATTAGCCCACAAAATGAATCAAAAATTCAGTTAGGATTTCAAATCTCCTACATTTTCTCCTTTTTGAACCCAAATTCCAAAATCCATTTGAGTATTCTTCACTTTGTTCATTGGTCTCTTTGGTAATCTTTGTTCCTTGGTTTCTATCCCATTGAAGAGTAAGGGATTGCATCCTACATCGATTGTCAAAGCAATGATACCGATGTGGGATAAAGGAAATTTTCTATGGTGCTTCGAAGTACTCCATACTTCGGATTTTTCATGTTATAATTTTTGAAAATTTCAGAAGTCAAGATTTAATAGTTTAAACAATCTGAAATATCCTATACTCCGAAGCATCATAAATTTTTTCAATAAAAACCTCCTCTCATTGCTAGAACATTACAGAACAGAGAAAAAAGCATCTCATCCAACCAAACCAATAATAAAATTTCCATTCCAGTTCCAAACCAGACAACAAATTAAAAACTAGGTTCACCACAGATCAGTGGTTGAACATGGAGAAATCTCTCCCCCTAGGGTATTGGCGTACGACGACAAGTTCTGCCTCCCATAGTAGTCATTATTTTGTACACTCTTGAAGCTAGGACTTCTCAAGTTCTGGCTAAAGCTACTACAATCAATGCCAACACAATCATGCTGTTGTGGCTCAGCCGAGACAGGGTACAAAAGGCGCTTCTTGGCTGAACCGCTGCCTCTTTCTCTCTCGGGTGTAGAAGGCCTTGTTTTTGGTGTGCTAAGCGATCGAGCCTTGGCCTTTGCGGATTCAGTAGAAGCCATGTAATTTGGTGTTCCAGAACGGCACATTGCACCCCTGAAGCTGCAATAAGCATTGGTGCCTGATAAGCTTGGTGTGTGTGCAGCTGATGAACAATAGTAATTTTCCTCTTTCGGGCATCTTGGACTCGCCGTCCTCACTTTCAGAGCTTTTGGTTTTGAAGGAGAGGGTGTTGCAGGCGAGAGATGATTCATGTACTGTGATTTGTGCAGGGGTGAAGCTGAAGCAATGGCGTAGGAGGCCGGCTGCTTTTGATGTTGCGAATGTGACGATGAAATTGGGACATTTGAAGATGTGCATGAGGAAGGCCTTGAATTCGTATCGATCTCAACTGTTTTTATGGAGTCCCTTTTGTCAATTGAAGCTCGGCTTCTGTTCTCAAATTGCTTCGTGGCCATCCATCTTTCTAGCCATCTTGTTCTCTCTTCTAGCTCTGCATCATTCCCTGCAGACGGGTTCCTCCCAGGCCTCCATATCTTCAATTAGGCATCAAAGTACTAAAGACATTAGCTTGTTAGACAGAAACTTACATGCATGCACGTGACGGTGTCCTAAACCAATCACCAACTTTCTGACATGGCATTGTATGATTAGCTTGGGATAACGCCTGCCATCTCATTTCGAGAAAAATTTTCTTCTAAAACAAACACACAAGCACTAAAAGAACCATATATTTGAGTGATGGAAAATTGATCAACCTGATGAGAGAAAGCATAAGCCAGAGCCTTTTCACGTTTTAAAGCAGCTTCCTTTCTACTATGCAATACGGGTTCAAGCCCTTCGTCCCAATAGTCCTCACCAAGACTTTTCTCCCTAGACTGCTTGACGTAGCGGAATAGAAGAACGAGGAATTAGACAAGCACCGGAAACTAGTAACTGAGAAAACCCTCGAGTTTTATCGAAATCAAGCAAAAGCACGAAAATAAAATTCATATTATTATGCTAAAAAGGTGAAGAGGTAGCAGCTGCTGCATACTATTGACTTTCTGTCACGAATGTCCCGAAGATATCTGGATTCCCACAAGTGAAGGTCTGTTTCAGCAAACATGGAGTTTCGACCGGCGTCATGCGAAAGCCTTGATCTTTCGTTGCGAACCTGATCTTGTACTCGAACCAGAGCTTGCATGCATTTCAGTGTCAGGTTTGCTTGCTTCCTAACGTTATGACCTCTCACTAAAGCTTGAAGCTTTACCAGCCCCTTGAGTGCATGTAGAGCTCTCCTTGCCTTCAGTCAAAAACCACATTTGCAATATGTAAAAAAAAATTCAAATAACGACCATAACCTCTGTAAGTAATCACATCTCCATATTGTGCTCTATTGTTGTGTTTTAGGACTGGTTTGGGACTGCTTTGATAAGAATCACTTTTGTTCATAGCGGTTTTGCTAAAAGTACTACGTTGAAATTTTTATCGAAAATCCAAGTGCGTCTTAAAAAGGACTTGGGAGTTCATTCTGATGAAACAGTTTCAAACATTTTCTTCTAAACGCCGTCAAAAGTGTATTTGTTGTTAAAAAGTGATTTTGGCCTTTTCCTAAGCAATCTTGAACATGCTCTTAGTAAGTTACTTACCAAGTAACCTCTGAATGCTGTTTGAATGAGTGTAGCAGCATAGTGTTCTCTAGCAAAGTTATTCGGTTCAGTGAGCCGAACAATTTCTACTGCCGCTTGGGCAGTAGCCACTGCTGCTTCAGCCACAGCTGCAGTTGCTGCGACCACAGCAATTGCATGCCGTTGCTCAGCATCCAAAACAGGACTCACAGGCGCACTTGCATCTACAGTCACTGTCCTTGCTTCACATTGTTGAACATGAAGAGTAGGCTTCCGGAAAAGCCACCTTCTCTTTTCTCTCTTCTGTACACAAACCAAACATTGAGTACTCAAAAAGTAAAAAAAAAAAAAAACATAGATTAGAATAGTTTATAATATCGTCTTATGAAAAAATCGTATGCAATATTGTTACCTTTTCTTCCTCTTCTGGTTCATGTTCATCTCTTCTTCTGCTACTTTTTGGCTGATCGTAATCTTTAGTGGGAGACCTGAACGCCCTTTTCACTATAGTCAGCCATGAAGTACCACTCTTCTTTCCCATTTGAGTGTTTGAGCAAAATTTTCCAGCATCACATGAATTTAAGCTGAGGAAGGCAAAAGAAGAAGGTGAAGTTGGTAGAGAGAGAGAGAGGGGTTTGTTTGGTTACATGCAATGCAGGAATCAAAGTACGAGCTCTGAGGTCTCCAATATATTGTAAAAATCGACGGTTCTTTTTTTCATTTTTTTTTTTTTTGTGGCATGCGAAACATTATAAAACAAAAATGGAGGGGAGGTGTCAGATATTGTAAAAAACAATGCAATAAGTAATAAGGTTTGAGAAAGAGTGGACACAACGGCGAGAGGGAGAGGTTTCAATGTAGGAAGAAGAATCCAAAGCATCCTAGCTAGGGCTTCTTTGATTGATCAATGGCTTTAAATTTCACTGACGAAAATCTAATGGTTTCACGTGACATGGACAACTAAGGGAAGAGAGAGAGAGATTTACAGTGAGAGAATGTGGCCAAATGTGAGTTTTGTTGTTATATTGCATCTTACCTTTGCATGCATTCGAAGTCCTCGAAGACCACCAACTCTGCTCGTATTCATGGGTAAAAGCAAACAGAGTGGGGCTTCATTTTCCCAGTAAGCTCAGTCAAACTAGTTTGGTAGGGTTTCTCCTTTCGTCAATTTTTTGTTTAGGTTAATTTTACTTGCTCAAGTAAAACACATTCAATCAGACAGTGGACCAGAACTCTCCCTTTCTTTGCATGAAAATAACTACGAAGCATGTGAATTTCTACTAGTTTTTCTGAGATTAAATGGGAAAAATTACCAGTAACTAGTTCCATACAAATCTTCAAAATCTATGCGGACCCAATATGTGTAGTAGTGTCAGTGTCACGTCATATTTACACCTTGATAATGGCTAGGCCAGACTCAAATTAAAAGCTGCTTGTACATGTTGAAGAGAGGTTGAACTCAAAACATCTCTATTGGTATTTTAAGTCAAATTATGCAATATCTTGCATTTTAATTTTTCTCGTATGATATTTTATAATTAGTTTGAAATACTTTCATAGTAATTTTTCCCTTGCATGAAAATTCTTCTTTAAATGCGGTTTTACTACCAAGATTTTTTTGAAATGGGAATGAAACTTAAATGCATCATAGATTAATAAATTTCAAGGGTCAAAATGTGTTCAAGATCTATCCTAGAAAGGCTGACTTTGTATTAGAGAAATCGAACCCTTAACTATTATAAATAAATAAGAGAATAACATTTCATTATTTGACGTCCGTTTATCTCGCTCTACTGCTCTATTTTGATTTGAAGGATACTCTTTAATAAGCTTCCAACAGAGGATAAACTAAACGATGAGGTATTTTTTAGTACTTATCTGCCAATTATGTTGCCGTAACTCTAAATCCGTTGATCACATATTTTTTAGCTATGGGTTTGCACAACGTCCTTGGTTTTGATTTGATGCTCAATTTGGCATTGTTCTTCCGTTATTGGCTTGTTTTCGGATTTTTAGCTCTCTTTTATGTCGAAATGGTTTCCTCCACATCTTCGAAGTGTTTGGTTGGCTGCAGGGTTTTTCTTGCTAATGCCTATTTGGAAGATGTGAAATAAAATGAAGTTTGAAAGCAAGTTCCCTTCATTTTTATGTATATGTTGTTCTACTTTTGCTTGGATTAGGGAGCTGGGGACTTTCTCTCGTCGTCATGTACGCAAAGTTTTAGACAAGCAATCTCTCTTGGATTTCGACTTAACTTACGTAATGGCCTTCCCATTCTTTGACATCCTCCTCCGTATAATTGGGTTAAAACTTAAAAGTGAATACAAATGGGCTGCTAAGGGTAACCCTGCCATGCAGCTTGTGGTGGGGCCTTTCTTGTATAATGAAATGTAAGGTTTATGGCCCTTTACTAATGTAACTTCTTTTAATATCCCCCTAACTAATGTAACTTCTTTTTTTTCGTTATCAATAAAATCTCTCTTTTAAAGTCAAAATTTTCTTATAAAAAATAAAGAATAGAAAAATGATAAACAAAAAAGAGAATAAGGGATTCATCATAATCAACCCTTTATTAATCTTGTGTGGAGCTTTTTCTCCATCAACTTCCTTACTGGTTTTCTCTAGGCAGACGGAAGAATCATCTATAGGAACTGGAAATATTAACCACCCCCAATTTCAGAAATGTTTTCTTCGTGTTTTGGATTTGATTGTGGAAATTATTGAAGGATTTTCTAATATTATGACCTTTGGTGGATTATGTAGGCTTATACAAATAGAAATCACATGAGCAATACCCTTTTGTCCTCCTATGCTCTTTTTTTTTCTTTTTAATTTGTTTTAGCCTCTAGACTAAATAAATAAAAGAGAATTAGTGGACAAAAACACGAGGAGGGATGCAGAAGGAGAAAATCTGAGCGTGAAGATTTACTACCATTAACGATAAAGTGGGTTACAAGACAGACCAAACTTTGCCAAACCTTGCAACTGAAACTAAACAGTCGCATGTGAAAATTTTGAGCCTACTTCCGATTCAACACGCAAATTTTACCCCTTCACAATCGTTGTGATTCACCCTGGATAATGAGAATATCCTTTCCTGGCATCCACTTCAATCCTCGGTGAAACTTCAAACAGAAAACAGTAAAGAAAGTGAAAAAGCTGCAGAAAAGTACATATTCGCCAACTCACGTCACCCTTTTTCAGGACCAAAGTTTCACAGAAAAAGTAGAGGCCTCTAAAACACTTTATGCTTAGGAATGATATGTTCATTATTCCTCAAGCAAATGTAAACATTCATGATGCAATCGGAGTTCCACCTACTCACCGTAAACTGATATTTTTTTTTCTTTTTTTTTTTTTTTCTGGAGAACAAAGCAGTCTAAGCAAAGTTTAAGCTTGATACCACTGGTTTATGTCAATCTAATTTAGAAGGTTTTCCGCCACTTATGTCGTTCCTTGATAGTCTTAGAGCACTTCCATCCCATGAATGTACCCTAGGTTATTGGGCAATCAAATTGTATTTTAGTTAATGACACGTGACGTGACGAAATTGGTTAAAAAGCATATCTAAAATTAAAAATAAAATTATCTTTTGTCATTTTATAATAAAAAATATTTTAAACCAATAGTCTGTTCTATTCAATTTAGGGATGGAGATGCACTTAAGCAGTTATAGTAAAGGTAGTAATTGTCCTGCTCAATAGCCTAATTGCTTGGGCAATTTGGTAGGGGTGGAAGTGCTATTAAAGATTGATCCCTCTCTTCCACTAACATGCTAGATTGCCAGTTAAACCACTTTGCATAATTTGGATGGGAAGATATGGACAAGCTTTTGGACAATTATTTTCTTGAGAAGAATACAAAAGAAGAGAAGGGAAATGACAAGTCGGCATTGACTAAGTTTGTGTTTAAAGGTGTTTTAAAGATTCTGTACGTTCTCTCACGGTCGGTACTTCCCTGGACTGAAGAACTGTTTTAGTTTCTCCACTGATAAACCAGCGGACTCTTCGCCACAAACTTGTGGCAGCCACGAAGCATCAGCATTCTCCATATATTCTTCAAATCCATGCGTTGAACTCTATCATGGTACAACAGTTCTCAAACAATTGAAGGGTAACTACTAGTTTAACCCTGTACTAACATAGTAAATCTTTCATTCATCGCACTGGATTTTCTGAAAATCGTTACAACTAGCCATCTGAAAGATAAGCGAAACTAAGACATCACTAACTATGCAACTGGTGTGCCTATGTTCTCCACATTCAACGAAAGGCGACTAATTCCGGAGATTAAAGTGAGTTCCAAAGAATCTGTAATTTATTGTACCAACTGCAGCACCATTGAAGACTGGTTTTTTGGTTTTTTTTTCTTTTATCAGAAGACTCTTAAGTGTTCGTTTGGTGCCTAAGATTGGATAACTCGCTCTATTTAAAATATGTTGTAAGAAGAAATAAAGAAACATTGTCTAAGTTACAGGTATAAGATGGATTAGAAAGAATAAGTTTCCCTCATGTCTAATCTCTTCTAATCCCTCAAATGAAAACCACTCACCTCTACAGCCCTCGACTTTAATGAGTTATCAAATCCAATCTTAGACACCAATCAGTCCAGAAGATTAGTATAACTTCACAGAAAACAACTACACCAGCAAATCAATACATCTTCACAAATCAAAAGCAGATATATATATATATATATAAGTTATATAACTATCAACATAAAAACAAGAGAGTAGAGTACAGAATTAGAAGCCTTTGGTTTCCATCAGAAACTCAAAAGAAGCCCCAACTTTAAGATAGAAGAAAATGCTTAAACACAATTTCGACACGAAAACAGAGATCTTTGCATCTCTTGTTCTTCACCATTCAGCTACAAATTGGGCAAAGCACCAGCCCATTCTCATTACACTCAGGACACCTCGTCACCACCGTCGTCCCCTTCCGCTGCCCCGCCACATCATCATTCACCATCAGCACCATCTTTGAACTCCCATTGCACTGGAAGCAGGGCAAGAACCTTGCCTCCCCACACCCTTCACACACTGACCCAGCTTTTTTCTTTGGACACCCAGCAAGAATCTCACCCAGCAAACCCTCCTCCAAAATCTTCAGCACCTCCTCAGAGCCGCCTATATATCTCCCCTTCACAAACACCCGCGGCGGCACCGCCGCCTCCTTCCCTTTCCCCTTCATCAAGTCGCTCAACTCTTCTCTGAACCCGCGATCCATTGACACGTCACGCTCGACAATCATCACCCCGAGGCCTTCTATCTCTGCCCGGACGGCGTTGCACTCCTCAAAAGTCCGCCGCACTCCTCGCAGCGTCGTCGTGTAGACAACGACTTTGTTTTCTCCGCCCGGCGGGCATGTTTTCTCGAACCGGTCAAGTGGGTCCTTCTTGTTGTTCACCCGGAAGACCCTTTCGTACGGAGATTTGAGAATTGCGCGATTCGGGTTGGAGTTTTCTTTATCGAGGGTTTTTGGGTCTAAGAAAACGAACGGTTTGGGCGGCGGAAGCGGCGAGAATCTGAAACTGTCGGCGTCCAGCCCGTCCATAAGCTCCCATGAGTTAATGACTTCCGGGTCGGAAGGCAGCGGTCTCGGGTCGGACAAGAGCGACTTGGGTTCGGACTCGAGCGACTTGGGCTGGGACAAGGGGCTCGGGAAAATGGACCCGAGAGTGAATCGAGAAGGGGGTGTCGACGGAGTGGTGGGCGCAGGCAGCGGCGGGTCGAGAGTAAGGAGGCCGTAGGTGGAGGAAGTCAGCGAGACGATGTGGTGGCTCAGCGCGGAGCTGCCGAGTTGGGAGAACTCGTCGTTGTGGTTGAAGAGATTAGAAGAAGCACAACCCATGTTCTCGTTTCAGGAATTGCGAGCTTCGATTGCTAACTGTGAAGTGGCGGAGGAGTGAGACTTTTTTTTGGAGTCGAATTTAATGTTTTTTTTCTAAATTTGGAAGGAATTAAAGAACTTTTTTATATAATTTTGAAATGGGGATTTTGTGGCACATGAGATTTGAGCGCTAAAATTTGATTCAAATTTATTGTGCATGGGTGTTACGAAGACGGAGAGCGGTGCCAATTATTGCGTTACAGCGTTAGGAGGACTGCGTTTCCTTTCCTTTGCTTTCCTTTCCTTTCCAGTCAAAAGGTTTTCGGCTTCCACAACTTTAGAGTTTTAGACAATGGGCCTTCTGGTTTCTAATAATCTAATTTCTACAGTCCATCACCATTTCTGTTTACATGAATCGGCCCAAAGGTTCATTGTCTCTTCATAGGCCTTATTCATCCAACGGGTCATTTGCTCACGTACGAGTCACTGTCATCAGTTGATGGACATGGAGTTGTTGACACTATAGTGTACGTGAATGACATTGTTAGTATTCTAACATGCTATGTTATGTTATGCTGTTATGCTGTTCAATATCGAATTTAGACGAAAACCAGAACCTAAATGATTTAGAATCTCAATGATAATAGTGCTCCGATTACCAAATTATTGTTTTAACACCCTCAACAAAATTGTTGAAGAGAGAAAAACCATCTCGTTGATGGTTTTGCAGATTTTGATCGTTCTCTCTGTTTCTGGATTTTATTTATTTCAAGTGTCCCCTCTTAACTGTGAGAATCTTATAAACCGATGACTTTTCTAAGTCGAGCTTGGTCTTGTTCTATAGTTAGTTAACTTCTCAACATGATTAACTTTATAATTAAGTTTGTAATTGAATAACTAATCAATCCTCCGAATCATGCAAGAAGGGTTGTTGTCTAAATAATTAAGCTTGACTTAAAATTCAATACAGCCAACAAATTCCATTTAATTTTCTACTAAGTAAAGTAGCATATAATTATTAGGGAAGGAAATTAGTTTACGTGAACAGCAGTAGTCGGCAGTACCCATTCAGCCGACGTAACTAGCTTCTTTTTTTCTTAAACAGTCATTTGTTGAATTTTTTGAAGTTAAGAAAATTAATTTGGATTATATTATTTGGATTCAGCGTCAAATCTACAATCTACGATACTGTTTTGAGATTTCAACGATAAAATTAACGTCCCAAATTGCAAACTTGGTATTTTCTGTAGAAACCTAATGAACCTAATGATTACATATGTGGATTGATGATATAAGTCTTTAGTAATATAATTTTAACATACACTTGCAGAAAAATATCAATTACGTAATCTGAGATTTTTTTTTTTTATTTTTTTTTTTTTATGGACAAAGGTGAATAATATTACCAAGCTCACAAACAAGCAGATCTGAAACAAAGAAAACCAAGCAGACTGCTACCAGCGGACACTGGGGAGCAAACCCGCGAACCTGCACCGCCTGCAGATGCCAGAGATCAAACCAGATAAAGCCCCATAATCGAAAAGAGAGAAGACTCCATGTTCCTTCAACAAGCACCACAACAATCGGATCTGCAGCCACGAACGAATAGAAGCCATTGGGAATATGCAGCCAAGATTCTAAAAAACGCTAGGCGCTAGTCAGGCGGCAGACAGACACCTAGTGCCTAGGCGGCTAGCTGGGGAGCAAACCCACGAACCTGCACCGCCTACAGATGCCGGAGATCAAACCAGATAAAGCCCCATAATCGAAAAGAGAGAAGACTCCATGTTCCTTCAACAAGCACCACAATGATCGGATCTGCAGCCATGAATGAAAAGAAGCCAGTGGGAATATGCAGCCAAGGTTCTAAAAAAAGTTAGGCGCTAGTCGGGTAGCAGGTAGGTGCCTAGCACCTAGGCGGCTAGGCGGGGCCTAGATGGATTTATGTAAATTTATTATATATCTTGTAAATAAGTGCCTATTTACACTTAAAAAAAATATGGATAATAGAAGAATGATAAAATGCAAAAATAGAAGTAGAAGAATACACAAAGTACATCCATCCAACAAGTTCAATATCGAAAAAACAGTAAGCATGTAATCATAATGATGAGTATTCTTGGATAATAGACTAAATTCTTCTTGTTCATGATCCTTGCATTGGATTGGACATAGATTAAATTATTTAACGTTGTTGTATCTAGTTTATTTCTTCTTCTTTTTTTGTATGTATCCCCTCAAAAGTTCTCCAATTCATTTCACAATTGGATGAAATTTTAGTCAATCCATCCTTTGCAAATTAGGTACACCACTTTCATATATATATCACCATGAAACTAAAAAAAATAAAAAAGCACACAATTAATTAAAAATTATATATATATATATATATGTGTGTGTGTGTGTGTGTGTGATTCTATAAAGTAAAAAAATAATAAAACATTATCCCAATAATTTATATAAATATATAACATATATATATATGTATATATAATGTATGTATATATTCCAAGCTGTTTGAAATGATAAAAACCCCACGTAGTGGGTGGTTTATTAAAGATTAAAAACCAAATAATATCCTTGTGTTTCTAACCCCTCCACCCCACCTCTAACACGCCACCCAATATTTCCAAAGCCCATATTATTATCACACTTTGACCCGTTGGAAAACGAAATAGTCTTCCCATATGAGTTTTTCCATTTCTTCTTCTTTCTTCAGTCATTAGAACGTCGAACTGGATCTTAAATCCAGATTGCGCTGTCATGGATTGATACCTTAAAAGTTAAGAGTTTCTCTCTTTTTACATTCTTTCTTTCCTCTTCTACTCACAAACGGTGAGCTGCAGAATTTCAATCGAGGCTCTACTTTGAGATTGGGCATTGCAGATTCTTAGTTGTAAAACCGCTTAGAACCACCCAGACCGCCTATAACGCCTAGCTAGCACCTAGGCAGCCGCCTAAATCTTCCCTGCCTTACATGATCGTTGTCACATCCCAGTCTTAACTCTGTCGTAGCACAATATTATCCGCTTTGGGCTTACCATTCACTCAAGGTTTTGTTTCTGGGAACTCACACGAGAACTTTCCAGTGGGTCACCCATCCTTGGATTGCTCTCACCCGAACTCGCTTAACTTCGGAGTTCCGATGGAACCCAAAGCCAGTGAGTTCCCAAAAGGCCTCGTGCTATAGGGAAGGGAGCATGTACATATAAGGCACATCATCCCCTCTCCATTGGTCGATGTGGGATGTAACAACCGTTTTGGCCTAAATCGGGTTGGGGACCCTTCGTCGAGTGCCTAGACGGCTGCCTAGACCGTTTTTTAGAACCTTGTATGCAGCCCACTAGCAAACAATACTGCAACAACAAAGATAGGGAAGGTCTTGGTGTGAACACCCAATTCGAAACTCTACACGCCTTTTGATATGTCCGCAATAAACTCTTATATTGTTGTGTTTATTGTGTTTTCCGTGTTATTGGTCAAGAAAGTTGAGGTTTTACCATAAAATCAATTGGTGATATGGGAAGTACTTAAATGCTTATAAACACATGCAAGGTCCTTTCTCTTATCAATGTGGGATTCATTCTTAACACGCTTCCTCACATGTGGGGAATTTTCAAGCCTAATACGTGGACAACAGAATTCGGGTGGCGTGAAGCACGTGTGGCCATTGGGCTTCACACGTGAGACCTTGAAGAAAGTTGAGGTTCCACCATAAAATCAATTGGCCATACGATGAGAAACCCAACTACTTATAAGCACACGCAAGGTCCCTCTTCTCATCGATGTGTGATTCATTATCAACACATCCCTTATGTGTGGTGAATTTTCAAGCCTAACACGTGGACAACACAATTTGGGCACGTGGGACAACTTGCTCTAAGACCATGAAGAAAGTTGAGGTTCCATCATAAAACCAATTAGCAATATGGGGAGTAACTCAACTACTTATAAGCACATGCAAAGTCCCTTTTCTCATTAATATGGGATTCTTTCTCAACACACTCCCTCATGTGTGACGAATTTTCAAGCTTAACACATGGACAACACAATTCGGGTGAAGCACATGTGGCCCTTGGGCTTCACACGTGGGACAACGTGCTCTGATACCATGAAGAAAGTTGAGATTCCATCATAAAACCAATTGGTAATATGGGGAGTGACTCAACTACTTATAAGCACATGCAAAATTCTTTTTCTCATCAATGTGAAATTCATTCTTAACATTTAGTTGTATTTGAATATTGTACAAAGTACTGCTGTATTGCTTTGCTGGACGTCTTGCGTTAGTAATTTAAAAAGACAATACTTCATCCATTCTCATGAAGTCAACCACTTTATTCATCATTTTTTTTAGTATATGTTCATGGAATAAAATTTATAACATACTCAGAATGAACCGCCACCATTTATTTGATACATGTGCAGATACGATCTCCTATTTAATTATATACATATATATACATATATATATATTAGTTATATGAATATATAGATATAATCTTTAAACAATGATGATTAAGTAAATGAATTGTTATGATTATGAAATAGTATAGTAAAAATACGCTAATCACAAATGGTGGTGGACAAGATTGTCAGAAAAAAGTTTGGTATCTTGTGAGTTATGGTTATGATGAGGAATGAAAGATTGCTTAAACCACAGATTAACTACGCTATTTATTTTTTATTTTTGTACTTTATTTGACCCATAATATGTGCCTATGTGAAGATATATTTAAGCATGACCTTACACCTTTTGTATGTCAAAGTTTTACATACTCCTAGGGTAAACTCCGAATACACGAGAAAGCAAGGATGCTCAAGATTGCTTAGCAACTAGACTCTAGAAAATAGTCTCTAAGCTTTCATAATTTCTAAATTTTGGTTAATGATGGAGGAACGAAAATTATAATCTTAGATTATTTATTTCTTGTAGAAATCTTCCACATATAGTGACTTTATGAATTGGTTTGGCAACCAATCAAATGAGATGCATACCTTATTTCAAACCTCCCAATCAAGAGGATACCTTTTCATTTAAATCACAACACTAAATAAAAGATGGTTAACCACCTCGTTTTAGTTAACAAATCTTCAAATTTTTAACTTAACGACACACGCAATCCATCTCCAGT